TTGCTGACAGTCACACTTGTGTATCTAGTTACCACCTCCTAGTCTTCCTTATTGGGATAATTTATTAATTACTGTACTATCATTCTGGCTTGTGGTAACTTTAATCTCTGCTTGTAGCCTTTAGGTCCCTTCCCCCGTTTTTGGAGTGCATGGCCATGCAGTTACAATTTTCCGAAACTCTCCGAGCTTCCTAATGGACATATCTAAATATATTTTGATTTTCTTTTGGCTTCTACCATCTCTGGGAGGATACACTCATACACCTGCAAGGTTCCCACTGTAACACCTCATTATTGTTTTCTCTGGTAAGTTGTGAAGTAAAAAACAGTTTCCCTTTTTTGTTTCTTCAGTCAACAGAAAGGTGCTGTTGCAAATGTCTCAACGAGAATTCATCACATATTCTTGTAAGTGGGAGCTATGGGGTCTCCCTAACTCAAGACTCTAGGTCTTTCTAGGTTAACAGAAATTTAAAATGTGAACAAGTTGCATAAGGAAGAATCTGAAAGTTGTCTTTGAAAGATCAGCTGAAAGGAAAAAACAAAACACCAACTTAGAGTGTAGGTGTGTGTGGATGGGGCAGGGAAGGGGATGTAGATGTAGCAGGCTGAATTCCACATACACTGTCTCGCACAACTAGCCCACAGACACAGAGGGCTGTCTGCTCTGCTGCCTTTCTCCTGGAGAGTTGAGAGTCACTCCTGCTAAGACCCTGACCGTGCTCCAAACATGGAGCATTGAAAAGCCACGATCAGTGGAAAGAAATGTATAAAAATGCTTCCTCTTCTTTATCTGATTCTCTGCCTTTCCAAACACTCTTCATCCTTCAGGATTCTGTATAGGGGTCCCTCGGTGATGAAGCTCTCCCTGGTAGACCGACACACACTCAGCCACCCTTTCTTTATATGTTTCTATTTTCATACTTCGTATTATTTAAGATATCATCATTCTTTTGAGGGTTTGAGCCCTCAGCACTAGCACCGTTTCTTAGGCATTTCCCTACTTCCAATGTGTATTACATTACATAGTAGGGTCTAGATATATCTATAAAATATGCTGTAAACCCATTTGAAGATATTAGAGCTGGCTGGCCTCCACAAGAGAACTTCAGAGAGTTATGGAAATGTAATTTTAGAGGTTTGCTTTTAGAACTGTGACCATTAAGTAGAAGTTACTGTACAGTGTTGAAGGATCACTATAAAGAACTTCCTAATTTGATATATTCACAAATGTAATAAGCTGATTATAAATAGTATTCATTCAATCATGGAGAACTCTTAAGCAACAAAGAATATACTCTGTGTCTGTGTGTGTGTGTGTATGTGTGTGTGTCTGTGTGTGATAGGAAGTAAAATAGATACGTTTTTGTCTGTTTTTTTCCCCTAATAATTAGGACTGAACCCAAGCCTTCACACATAATAAGCAAATAGTCTACTGAGCTATGTGTCTAGCCCTTTTTTTTTTTAAGATAGTATCTTGCGAAGTTGTCCAGGCTGGCCTCAAACTTGTTATCCTCCTGCTATAGTCTCCTGATTAGGTGAAATTACAAGTATACACACTGCACCTAGCACAGATATGGGATTTTTAGCCACAGAATATTTTAAAACAACGTGTATGAGGGAAAAAAATGAGAACCAAGACCTGTCATGTAAAGGTACAAGATCCCAATAATGAATGTAACTGTACTATATACCTAAAATGTACCAACAAACTCAATTAAAAAAAAAACAATGTGTATGGCATTGGTATCCAGAAGTTATTTTCAATATTCTAGATGTGAAGGACACAAACAAACAAAAATTCAAAATAAAGGTTTACACAGCAAATCTTTTAGAACTTTGAAAACTTCAAAATGTTCTTTAGGCCAGACTTAATGATTCACTGTGGCAGCACTGGCTATCCTGTGCCCTCAAATCTGAAACAGATCTAACTATATTTTATTTTTTGTAAAAATTCAAAAAAGCGAATTATTTTTTAACTCTCATTTGTTTGGAGGGGAGAGATTGAAAATGTGGAGTCCACGGGGAATGTGTATTAAAATAATTTTTTATTAAACACAAGTAATTTGTTTATACATTTTGTTGTATGAAATATTTGATTTCCCCAATATTTTAAACATTACTGGAGGTAAGATGCCTGCAACAGTAGATGTATTATATTAGATTCCAATGTTTTAAACATTCTTTCTCAGTGATAAAATAAAAATGCACCTTATAATCTGTATCATTTTAATGGTCAAAGAAATATAAATTGAATGATAATAGATGAAAGAATCTGTATGATTTTCAAGTGTTGTTGGCTAAGTCCAGAACCTTTATTACCTAGTGTAGTCAGTTCCTTAATTTCTGAGTCTGTTTTCTCATTTGTAAACTGAGAATAGCTGCAGCCTAGATTGCTTCTGAAAAGTTGAATGAGACAAAGCTTGTAGAGTGTTAAACATTTCTTCGTATTATATCAGTCACAACTTTTCATAGCTAGAGTTAATACGTCTCCCAAATAGCAAAAATTGCCAGTAAAAATGATAGAAATCTGAGGTCTGACATTATTTTATCATGCAAATAATTTTGACCTCCCAATATTATTTGTTTTGCTTCAGAAACCTTATTGCTTCTGCACTACTAACCAGTTTACTCCATTTTGTGCAACAATTTATAATATACCTTAAAGGAACTGATTATATTAGGGTTTGGGGCTCAATTACCTGTTTCAAATGCTCAGTGAGTAAGGAAAGCATGTCATTTTCTCCTCTCCTGCACACTGGAGTATAACAATAGGCTGTGAATAGAACAAATCAGAGAGACACAAATACCAATATAAGGGACCCATTGTGTTAGTGTGTTGCCCTGTCATGTGGTTTTAATTTTGTTTGGCTGATTATGACAGACTGACAGATAGCACATTGTTTCCTCCTTGAAATCTCAAGACATTTTCATATTTCTGTTCTTACCTGTCCATTTTGATTCCAAAACTTAAATGAAATGGAATTACAGCATTCACTTTGTTTTCCTGTGCTAAGTGATTATCTCTGAAGTGCAATTTTGTGATTAGGCGAGACGGCGTGCATATACTCAGCTAATGCTGATTTCCCCCAGGGTGCAGAACAGGTAAACTCATAATGAATGGATGTTGTGCTTTGATTTCAAATGGGTGTAAAACCTCACCACACTTGGTAGTTTTATTTTAAAAAATGTGTTTAATTATTCTAAAATTAACAGGAGAATATTAAAATTGAACTTTAGAAATACGACATTTAAACATAAGTCAAGGGTGCTAACTGCTTATGAATGTTAATCCCTTCAAAAAATGAAAAAAACAAATTTACCTGGCATAAATGGGAAAGGGGTGTCACTGAAAATCTGTAGTTTAATTATTTATATTTTTCCTGATTAATTCCAAAAATGTCCGAATGCAGCTTCTTATTTGTATTGTCAAATTCTAGTGTTCCTTATTTTGAAAGCTGCAATAATTAATGATTCAACTAATTACTGTGATAGTATTGTCACCATTGTTTTGTTCTGAGGGGTAACTTTGAGGTTCAGAAAAGAAGGTAGGAGTTAATGTTGGCACAGATTATTTGACTATTTTCTTTAATATTTTAGGAAGATATTTTGTACATGATTGCATACAAGTATAAAGAAAATTTAGCATTCCAATAATTAGATATTTTTTTTGGTACTGGGGATCGAACTCAGGTCCTTGTCAATTAGATACAGTTTGAACAAACCACCAAAATCAATGATTGGTGCCCAAACTGTACCTGTTTTACTTCTTTACTTGGAAAAAAACATTTTCCATAATACTGAAGTGGGAAATGTAATACTCAAGCTCCCAATCTTACTTCAATTATGAAGGAAGAGAAAAGAATATAGGATAGTTTTCGTCTGAGTCCTTTTGGGGTGGAACTTTTATGAAACCAAGCGAGCCTGGCTCTGTTCTAACATCAGATGAAGTTTAAACTTTAAGAGACTGGAGAAGTTCCTGTTATTGAAACCTTCTCTTTTGAGGAGTGAGAAGCTGAGGCTCATGGCAATTGAGGGAGATATCACTCACGCAGTGGCACACTTCCCCTGGCTCTTCTGACTGCCAGGACCATGTTCTCTGCACTATGCGGCTCAGTCCTAGCTGTGGGCTCCTGCGTGCACATAGGTCTGCACCCTGCCCTATCCATTAGCATATTCAGAGAAGAGCTGGTCTCTCATTTTCAATTCTTTATAACTTTCTATTTCTTCATTTAGACAATCACCACAAAACACCACGAACCACTTTTATAATATAATAAAAACATCATGTGGAAAAGTATAATTTTAAATAAGTATAATTTAGTGAAATAATTTTCATTTTAAAAATCTGGCAAGTGTGGTGAGGTTTTACATCCAACTGAAATCAAAGTGCAACTACTTGCTTGGCACCGTGATTGAAATAGCATTTAGAACATTCAATATTCTGTACAAGTGCGGTATAAGATAAGGAACAACAACAACAAAGATAACAGGAGGTGCCCTAAAGTGTGAATGTAGTTCACTAAAGTGTATTTCTCTGAGTGAACTGCAGTTTGACGGTGTGTGTTTGAAATCTTTCTGTTTGGCATGTCTCTCTTCTTTGTCATATCGAAATACATTATTTTTAAGTCTGGGTTCAATTCATCAGGGTTTTCTTTTTACAATATTTTTGAATACCTTTTAGGTTCATTTAGAAGAAAAAAATCAAAATATTTTAACTAATTCCAGGTATTTCCGAAATGACTAATCCTTTCATTCATGCTTTCTCCTAGAATTTTGAGTATTTGGAAGTGGCTTGAAAGTTTGCTAAACAGAAAGAGTGGCTATGCCACTATTTATAAAACTAGCCAGGAAGAATAAAGTATAGCGTCTCCACATGCAGGCTGTATTTCCTTGAATCTTCCCTAAATTTTCCTGGAAAGTCCCATCCAAGCTTTTGTCCCTATGATCCATCTGCATGTTAATTACTTACAGATCCATCCAATTTCTTTTTTGATGTTACAGCTTCTGCTACATTTGAAGATTTCCAGATTCGTCCCCACGCTCTCTTCGTTCATTCATACCGAGCGCCAGCTTTCTGTGATCACTGTGGGGAAATGCTGTGGGGACTGGTGCGTCAAGGCCTCAAGTGTGAAGGTAACTTGTTTTCTTCCCGAAGAAGTCAAATCCATGTTGGAGAGATCCACTTATATTGTGCTCTCTGCAATAGTGTTCTCTGTCCTCTGAAATTTCCTCCAGGCCTTTTTTTGGATGTATGAACACTATTTTCTTCATGTTTAAAAATGTCCTGTCTTTGTTATATCTGGTCTGACCTGGGACTGCTGATTTGCATATTTCCCTCCCTCCCATCATAGCTCATCTGTATTAACAACAGACCAAAAATAAAATTTGTATCATAACTAAACCATGAATCAGAATAGTAGGCATTGAAATGAGCAGAAATTCAGAAAATTAATCAAACCAGCGAAGATCACTCCACTGCTGAGTTGGGTCATCTGGCATATACATCAGAGTTTCTATGCCAGTACCTGAGTGTTATCATATCCACAGGAAAAATGCCTTGAAGTGCACAACTCAGCATGCTGCAACACCCCGATGAACTTTTACAGCCTTCACCAGTCATCCCCTGCTCTGGTGGGTTGAGGAGAATAGATCTCTTTAGACTTTGGCCAACATGACAAAGCTTTGTAATGTATAAATACACTCATCACAATTACTTAATTTATTCGATGAGGAAAACGCTTAAGTGGCAGTGACCTAGAAGATAGTCTGCCTAAACTCTTGTTTCATGAAATTTTCTCTGACCTACTTACTGTGTGACACATGAAGAAATTCAGAGGTATGGTCAGCAGTTGCATGGGGCATGTGAATAGTAGTAATATTGAAAAGAGAATAACATTTCCCTAAGTGAAAAATGTACTTCCAGTGTTCAATTACCTACCATACAGAAACCAGTATGTGAACTGTCTTACATTTCATAGTAACAATTTTACAGGGCAGTTACAAGTCTCTTCATTTTATAAATAGGAAAACTTAGATGAAGTCATTTGTTCAAGGGGGTGTAGAAAATCAAGTTATAGAAGGAGAATTTAAATCAGTGTAGTCTCAATATCTCCTTTTCATGTCCACTCACATTTGTGGGAGCTAAAAATCACTTAGATAATTAACATGGACTTTCGTTACTAAATCCCTTAAAGCCCAGGCTCATTATATTGCCAAACATTTGCAGAAGTTATAACCAGGGTAGTTGCTCAGCTTCTCTAATAAAATCAGAATTCAAAACCCACTTAAAGATTGTGGGGAGGAGGAATCAGAGAAAGCTCACGAGAAATTTTGAATTTTCAAGTAACCTCAGGAAAAATAGAAGTACTATTTTTTAAATTCAAAATTTAAAAATTCATAGTTTACAAGTAATAGTGGAATGATTTTGAATTTCTGATTGAACAAAAGCTGTTTTTGTTTTCATTCCAGGATGCGGTCTGAATTACCATAAGAGATGTGCATTTAAAATTCCGAACAACTGCAGTGGTGTGAGACGGAGAAGGCTCTCAAATGTTTCCCTCACCGGGCTCAGCACTGTCCGCACATCCTCCACTGAGCTCTCTACCAGTGCCCCTGATGAACCCCTTCTGGTACGGCCTCCTGTTTATCCATTTCCCTGTTTACATGAAAAATCTGTGGGGCTTTGTGATAACAGTGTCAGTCAGGTATTGTGCTGGGAGTGAGGACAAAATCAAGAGTGTTAATGACTGTTTCCTCATAACCTGTGCTATGGGTTGGTCAATACTTCATCAAATATCCCACAGCACTTAGTTTGCTTTTATCTCTGAGTTTAGTGAAATGATAAAACATGTGAGGTATCATCATGGCCGTAGGGCTGGAGCAGCACAAACCAATGTGTTAATGTTGCAAAACATAGTTTGTCAAAATTTGGAAAACAAAGACGAAAGATATTCTCTGTTGATTACTAGAGTAATTTGTGGCACAGCTGAATATTTGTTTTGGGAGAAAATTTGAAACTGGCTTTTGTGAAAATATGAGTCTTTTATGGCTTGTATATATGCAAATAATCATCAAACATGCACCACTAAACCACATTATAATAATGGCGCTTAACACTTTCCATTAACTGTAAAACATCTTTTGGATATGACTTAAGTGTGATTCTCTAAGGAGGTCACTTTTTCACCAATGGTAGTATCCCACACTCTACTTTCACAAGGAGTTTTTATGGGGAGGGCCTTATGTTGTCAGTCATTCTTTAAGCGAAACTGTTGAGGGAGGTGAATACGAACTCCTGCCAGCAGCTAGAAAAATAAGTCTAAAGATATTCATTTGTACAGATGCACATTTTAGAATATATGTGAATGGCTCTATTTTATTCTATAAAATTATATTATGTAAATTATATTCTTACTGAAAGATGCTCAAGTAAAAATTTAATTTTTAAAATAACTGTCAGGTTAACTTCTCAGCCTAGAAGTTCTTTGGTGGAATTTGAATTTTATAAGCTTCAGAAGTTATTCTTGTTGTTATGAATAGTTCTTGAGAGTGAAGGTATTTGTCATGTAGGCATTAAATGATCCATAATGAAACAAAAGTATAAATCAATGATTTCTTTTCAGTTTTACCTGGAATAACTCCTGAACAACTTGTTAAACAACTCGAAAAAAAATTCTAAATCTCTAGTCATTCCTCATGGAATCTAGAGTCAATTATGTATAAATATATACATTTAGGTTATGTAACTATGACCTTTACCGTAGGTTTTTGTACATTGAGCTAAACTGTTTAATTGCTTTAATCGATTGAATAAGTATTAAATTATTTGAATTACTTGGCTCTAAGCTGTATTTTATTTAGGATGTCAAAATTCATTAGTGTTTCATTGATAAATGGAAGCTTTTTAGTAGAATACTTAAGTCTATCTTAAAATATATTTTTAAATCATTTAACCATTTCTCTCCAGAATGCTTGCAAAATTATGATCGCATAAGACATTTATGATATGAAAAGCTATAAAAGCCATAGGATGCTTTGAAAATTATTGGTAATGTAAGACTTCATATGCTTTTAAAACATTTTCTTCAGAAGGGGACATGATCAAGACATAATATAGGCATGTGCGTAAATATTGCAGTGAAACACTTTGATTTATAGGATTAATATGTTAATAATTATAACAATAAAAATGCCTTATGGCTAACTTTAAATAAGAAATGCCCTTGGGAATAATGATGTAACATTACTTAACACCATGGCTTTTAGATCATGTTTTACATGCTGAAAACCCTTTTGTATTCTGTTAAGTGTCTTTTTTGGTTCAATTTCTGAGAAAGTAGGAAACATTAGTCCACCTTGGGTGGAACACTTTTGCCTTTGCACCAATTTTATGTCTTGACTATTTTTTATAGGATCAAACCCACCCTTCTCTGCTCAGGCATGCTTGGATATCCCTTTTCAGCACTGGGCAGAACTATACATTTATTAAGAGGACAGAAACTATAGTTTAAAAGTTGTAGTGACTGTCTAGTCAGAGATGACATTAGGGCAAAAAAGAGAAAAAACTTTTTGTTTCTATATATAGTAAACAGTATTTTCCATTTCTGAAGAGGATGTTGACCTATGTAAAGGTGGGATTGCTCATTAATTCCATTAGATTGTCTACTTTACAACTCTGTGATATTACGTATGTGAATTTTCTCTCAAAATATGAGAAAATGAAGTTTTCTTTGCCATAATTGCCTATTTTGACAAAATATCTGATTTTCCATACAGATTAAAGCATCATTATTCTTTTAATTTGTTCAATTTTGACACACAAATTGAACCTCAGATTTCCATCATGGTGCTCAGTTGAAAAAATTTTACAGCATAGGTAATACAAACTTTATCGTTCATCACTTTGGCAGTAACTACATCCACTATGTTAATGATAAAGCAGTCCATCTTTCAAGAAAATCTGAAATGTAGTCCATTTATGTTACAACAGCTCAGTAGGGAGGTGTATTTCTTTTTGGCAACTATTACCAGTCTTAGAAGGAAACAAAAGAAAAACTCAGTAGATCAGGAGAACACAATAATATGTTGTATCCTAGGTAAGTATACTTATTGGAATTATATCAATTTTATGAACTTTTGGACAACTGTAGAAGTCAGGATCATATGTTCCTATCATCTTTCTATGCTTTGTTCATTGTTTTATTTTATTTACCTCTGTTCTTTAGTATTAGAGAAGGGTCAATGGAAAACAAGCTGTGTGGCAATTTTAGGAAAAATTTTCTTAATGTGTTGGAGAACTGTGTCCCTATGTATGAAAGAGAAGTTAATTCTCCCACAAGGGACAATTATAAAAGCTGAATAAAATATAACAGGGCAGAACAAAGTTTAAAGAACATTATTTATAGACATCTAAGGGCATCCAAGTCAATTAGGATTTGAGGGACAGATCACAGAAAGGTCAACAAACAGAGCAGCTTCTCACAAGGTAGAATTGTCCAGTCCAAAATATCCACAGTGCTGAGACTAAAAGCACGTAACGTAGAACAACCCCAGAGAACTGCCAGACATAAAGTCACAGCTAAGACAAGGTAGTGTTACACAGGGTTTAAGTCTGAACTGTTAAAATAATGTGGTAGTACCTAAGACAGAAAAATAAACCAGTGAAATAAAAGAGTCCAGAAAGTGCACACATATACAGGCCAACTGATTTTTACTACAAGAAACAATGGTCTTTTCAACAGATATTTCTGGCACCAATTAGACATCTATATGAAAATACAAATTTTAACTCTATGCCATGTACAAAATCAATTATATATAGACTGGGAACTTGAAGGAAAAAAATATGGAAGAATAAGTACAAAAGCTTAGAATAGGAAATGCCTTTGTAAGATTCAAACCATTGAGTAGCAATAAAGACAACTGAGTATCAATAAAATTGCACATTTATTTCATCCATAAGTAATAGCAATGGAAAAGCACGCTATAGAAAGGGAAAAATATTAACCTCATTGCCAGGGTATATAAAGAAAATTTACAGAATGTTGGGAGACAGCCAGCTCCACTTAAAATGTAGCAAATTGTCCAACTAAACTTTATGGAAGAAGATAGCCAATAAAGATGAAATTGTGCTTAAAACCATTAGTGACTGAGGAGTCTAAATTTAAATCTGAAATGATATATTTCTGCACTAGATTACCTAACACTGAATGAAAACCTAACACTAACAAGTATGTATTGGCAAAAATACTGAGCAGCGAGAACTTACACATATTACTTCTTGGAATACAAATGGGCTCAACAACTTTGGAAAGCTGCTTTGGCAATTACTTTCTGAAATTGATCATATGTGTATACATATAAGCAGTTCTACCTCCAGGTAGAACCGAAACTGTTAAAATGTGTGCACAGAACAATACATTACAAGCTTGCTTTTAATGTCTTTTCATAATAGCTAAAAACTGGAAACAAGTGATTTGTGCAGTCATACAATAGAATGCATTAATGACATACCTGTAGAATGAATAAACCACTGATTCACTCAGCAGTGTGAATGTATATCACAAAATAGTATTTAAAGAAAGAAATCAGACCCAGAAGAGTATATATGTATGAGCCCAGTGTATGAAGTTCAAATCAAGAAAAGCTGACTTATGGTAAAGCACACCAAAATAACAGTTCCTCTCAGTGAGCTGTCAACTGGGAGAGAACAGAATGAGGCTTCTAGGGGACAGGAAGTATTCTATATCTTCATCAGGAAAAGAGGTTACATAGGTGAATACACATGCAAAGCCTCAAGAAGCTATATACCTTGAACTTTATATACTTTATTCCATATAAATTATACCTCAATAAAAATGTTTTGAAAAATAATATCAATAGCTATCCAAATGGCAAATTATAAAGTCACTAGAGTTCATCACAAATTATATAAGAAAAGAATGAAACAATATACCAGAATAATTAAATAAAGTTATAAAATTCCTTTTGCTAATTAAAAAGGTATTATAAAGCTGACATTGTTTAATAACACAAAATAAATTATTTGGATGTTAAATGTGCTGCAGCATTCTGAGATACATAGAATCTATCTGCATAATAAACATTGTATTTTACAGTAATTTTCACCAGAGATGAAAAATTATAATTCATACGAACTCTTTGAGGGAGTAACAAAACAAACAAAAGCAAAACTCTGGTATCATGTTATATAAACTATCAGTGGAATACTTGGCTCTCTTCTTTATGCTTTATGGATATTTCTGGTGATTCTAACTTCACAACAAAATAAAAAGATAGGCTGTCCATATAGTTCCCAATATCCTTCTAAACATGATTCCATAAAATATTCTGCAAGTAAACAAATCTTGTTTAAATAAAGTTTGGAAATACTTTCTGCTCCACCTAACTAGTGGTTATCAAAATAGTTGTTAAAATTCATTAAATGGCTAAAAAATCTTGCAATGATGAGATCAGTGTTCTTAAACTGACCTAAATATGGAATCTCTGTTTCTCATAAAATCTAAAAATATCTTATTGGAAAAAAGGCATTTTGAGAAAAGAAAACTTAAGAGAAATTAGTGAATGCATGCATGTTGCACGGTCCCATCTTCAGATCTCAGAACGCTCACACCATTCATCTGAACTTGAATTCTAATGTGAGGTCAGAGTAAAATGGTCTTTAGGGCTCCCAACTTGATGAAAATCATGAGCTCATCTGGCAGTTGTAGAGACAGAAAGGCTAAAACCTTTTTCAGAAATTGAAAATCTTTATTGATTTCTGTCTCATATAAACAGGGCTGTAACTTTTTCCTTAAAAGTCACAGTTGGATCTGTATTCAAATGAGCAGTGAGTTCTGCTTGTTCTTCATGTCCATCCAGAAATATTGTAAGTAGTACTAGAAAACGATTAACTTTGACAGAACTTCATTCTAAATGAATGCAGCTTCCAAAGTCTCCAACCTTCTGGTCACCTGTAGCTTATGAATAAAGAAATAAAGTTTCAGAAAACAAATAAGTTTTTTCTTAATTTGTAATAATTCATTACTAGAAAAAAAATCACTGGTTTCAAAAACACCTTCATGCTTTATTTTTGAGAAATAGAGTCAACATAGTTTAGTCTTGGTTTGATTTCTTTTTTCTTTTCTTTTCTTTTTGATTTCTAATTATCAGAGCAGTTTGATAAAGCTAGAGAGAAACGGATTTATAAAAGAATATCTTCAATATAAATTAGCAGATAACTCTTGTTCAAGTTTTATTTTTCATTAACACTACTACTTCTTAAATACAAAATCCAGAGTAATATTTTTACTTTTGAATTATTTTTTTTTCTCATTGAGTTTATTGGTACATTTTAGGTATGCAGTACAGTTACATTCATCATTGGGATCTTGTAACTTTACATGATAGGTCGTGGGTCTCATTTTTTCCCCTTACTCCTGCCCTCCCTTCACACCTTCCTCCCTTTTCAACCTTTTATTATTTCAACTTTGAATGCAATCGGACAGAAAACAGGGACTCTCATATGAATAAAGAATGGACTGTAGAATATTGTCTTATTAAAACTTTTACTACTGGACTTCTTGAATTTGTAAACAGCTGACTGATACTCATTACTCATCAGCTTATTCTGGCCTGCAGGCAGTTAAGAGCTACATAACATTTGATTACTTTGATGACCTTTTTCTTTTTCCCATTGAGAAGATGAATTATTATGAGGCAAAATGTAATCTTTCACTTAAAGGTCAAAAATGCTTCATTTTGACTGCAGTTTATTTTCAACAAGTGAAATAAATGTTTTTCATCACTAAAAATATGACAGGTAGATTTTTTAATTTTTTACCTCTACCCACTCACAACCGCAACATGTGTCTTTGTAGGTATAAGTTAATCATTGCAACTCTATTTTATTTTATAAGTAGCCAGCTCAATTGTCCTTATAGCTACAATCAGTATAGAATTTTGCATTTATTTGAAAATGTTCCTATATCTATAACATAGTTGAGTATTATGCACTGCTTTCCTCTAATAACACTGTTTTCCTATCTTTCTCTCCTTTTATTCTCCATCTTTGCCTGCTTTTTGCACTTACAACTTCAATTTTCAGTCTCCTGTGAGTCCTGGCTTTGAGGTAGGTACTAAGGCTACCTGGTAGTAGAATTGTGCCTTACCCTCTCTTTAAAAATAACATTTTAATATTAGATTGACATCAACATTTACTCCATGAAAATTAAACCCATTGAACTTCAGATAGCCTACAGATTTTTTAAAAATCTAGTTGTTATTGTTTAACAATAGCAAATGAAATGTGTATTTAACAAAACAATGCAATCATTAGGTTGGTACTGTCAGATAAAGCCTTCATTATTATTATTAATATTATTATTATTAATGTTATTTGATTCCATTACATGGTATCACTTTGAAAAAACAGCGAGATAAGTTGACAATGAAACATTACTGTACAGTCAGCCCCTTCTTTCTGTTGTAACATATTAATAGAAACTCATTCCTATTGAACTATATTCCAATAACAGTTGCCACGGAATTAGGCAAAACAAGGATATTCTCTTCATATGCATATGTTTTGTTTATTTGTTTGTTTGAGATAGGGTCTCACTGTGTAGTTGACACTTATCTGGAACTCACTAAGTAGCACAGGCTAGTCTCAAACACACAGCGATCCTCCTGTCTCAGCCTCAGGAGTGATGGTATTACAGGTGTGTGCCACCATGCCCAGCTATATGCATATGTTTTTTTTCTTTTTATTGAGTTTATCTGTACATTTTAGGTATACAGTACAGTTACATTCATTATTGGGATCTTGTACCTTTACATGACAGGCCTTGGTTCTTGTTTTTTCTCCTTGCCCCTGCTCTCCCTTTATCCACTGCTCCCTTCCCCATTTACAAACACTATATTTCCATTTTTGCAATTTCTCATATTTTTTTCTTTTCCCTTATTCCCTTTCCCCTACCCTTTCCACTTTCCCTACACCTTTAGCCCTTTTCTTCCTATTTCACATTGTACTATTATACTTTTTCACAAAGAGAAACTATTTGGTATTTACACATGTGTGACTTATTTATTTCACTTAGGAGTATATCCTCAATATGTATCCATTTTCCTATCATGAATCTAATTTCCCATTCTTTATGGCTGAGTAATATTTGATTTTATACAAAATCTTTATCCAGTTTCCAACTGATGGGCAAATGGGCTGTTTCCAAGTTTTAGCTATTACAAACTGTGCTGCTATAAATATGGGTGTGGATACATCACTGTGATATGATTCTTTTAGTTCTTTTGGAAAGATACCCAGAAGAGGGATGGCTGGGTCAAATGGTACCTCTAGTCCAAGCTCTTTGAGGTATCTCCATATTGATTTCCATAGTGGTTGCACCAGACTGCACTCCCACCAGCAATGGAGAAGGATTCCTTTCTCCCCACAACCCTGCCAGCATTTGTTATTGTTTGATTTCTTGATAGCAGCCATTCTTTGTGGGTTAAGGTGGAATCTCAGTGTTTTCATCTGCATCTCTTGAATGACCAGTGATGTGGAACATTTTTTCACATATTTACTTGCTGCTTTTATTTCTTTGTCTGAGAAGTGTCGTTTCATTTCAGATGCCCATTTTTGAATTGGGTCTTTATATTTGGGGGAGTTGATTGTTTTGTGCTCTTTATATATTCTAGGTAATAGTCGTTTGTCTGAGGAGCATCTGGTAAAAATTTTTTCCCACATTGTAGGTTGTCTCTTAGTTCTGTTGATGGTTTCTTTTGCAGTGCAGAATCTTTTTAATAAGATGAGATCCCAGTTGTTGATTCTTTCTGCTAGTTCCCATGCTATTGAGGATTTGTTCATAAAGTTTTTTCCTATGCTAATGTCTTCCAGAGTTCTGCCTAACTTATCTTCCAGAAAATTTAGTTTTTCTGTTTTGATATTTAGATCTTTAATCCACTTTAGTTTTAATTTAGTGCATGGTGAAAGATAAGGGTCTAGTTTTAATCTTTGGCAGGTTGAGATTTAGTCTTTTCAACACCATTTATTAAAGAGGCTATCTTTCCTCCACTGGGGATGGTCAGCTCCTTTGTCAAAGATGAGGTAGCTGAGTACATCTGGAGTTGTTTTTATGTCTTCCAGTCTGTTCCACTGATCCTCAGGTCTGTTTCTTTGCCAGTACCCATGCTGTTTTAATCACAGTGGCTTTGTAGTATAGTTTCAAATTGGGAATTGTTATACCCTCTGCCATGTGTCTGTTGCCTAGGATGGCTTTTGCTATTCTAGGTCTCTTATGGTTCCAAATGAATTTTTGCATTATTTTCTCTAGTTCTGTGAAGTATACTCTTAGAATTTCAATCGGGATTGCATTGAATCTGTATAGCAGTTTTGGTAGTATGGCCATTTTCACTATGTTGATTCTTCCTACCTAGGAACAAGGGATATGTTTCCATTTTCTTATAACCTCTTTGATCTCTTTTTTTTTTTTTTTCAGAATGCTGTGGTTTTCAGTGTAGAGGTCTTTTGTTTCCTTCATTAGATTGATTCCTTGATGCTTCATTTTTTTGGATGCTATTGTGAAAGCAATTGTTTGCCTTATTTCTCTCTCAGTGAATCTGTTATTTGTGTACAAGAAGTCTGTTGATTTTTGAGTGTTGACCTTATATCCATCTACTCTGATGAAAGTGTCAATTAAGTCTAGAAGTCTTATGGCAATTTTTTTTTTGGCTCTTCTGTGTAGGGTTTCATATCATCAGCAAAAAATGACAGTTTAACTTCTTCCTTTCCTGTCTTTATTGCTTTAATTTCTTTCTCATGCCTAATTTCTATGGCTAATATTTCCAGAACTACATTGAACAGAAGTGGTGATGGTGGACATCTTTGTCTTTTTCCTGATTTTAGCATGAAGTTTTTCAGTTTTTGGCCATTTAGTATGATGTTGGCTATTGGTTTTTCATAAATAGTCTTTATCAAGTTGAGATAAAGACCATCTATTCCAATTTTCTGTGGGTTATTTTTTTATCATGAATGGGTGTTGAATTTTGTCAAATGCTTTTCTTGCATCTATGGAGATTATCGTATGGCTTTTGTCCTTGCCTCTGTTAATTTTAGTGTATTACATTTATTGATTTATGTATGTTGAACCATTCTTGCATCCCTGGGATAAATATGATTTGGTCAGGGTGTATGATCTTCATGATGACCCTCTGTATTCTGTTTGCCAGTATTTTATTGAGGAATTTGCATCTATGTTCATTAAGGAGATTAGCCTGTAGTTCTCTTTTTTGGTAGGGTCTTTCCCTGGCTTTGTAATCAAAGTAACACTTCCCTCCAGAATGAATTTGGAAATATTGCTTCCTTTTCAATTTCATTAAAAAGTTTAAAGATTAGTGGCAGTACTTCTTTAAATGTCTTGTAGAATTCAATAGTGAATCCCTAAGGACCTGGGCTTTTCTTAGTTGGTAAACTTTTAATTATGTTTTCAGTTTCACTGATTATAATTGGGGTGTTTAGAGGTTTTTATTTTCTTTGTTCAACTTTGGTAATTCATAAGTATCAATAAATCTGTCCATTTCTTCTGTGTTTTCCATTTTATTACAGTACAGGTTCAAAGTAGGTATTGATGGTCCTCTGATTTCTGCTGGATTTGTAGTGACTACCTTTTTCATTCCTCATTGTATGGATCTGACACTTTTATTTCCTTGTTTTGACAAGGTAGGCTAAGGGTTTATCAATTTTATTTATATTTTTGAAAAACATCTCTTCAATTCATCGATTTTTTTGGTATTGTTCTCTTACTTCCCATTGCATTGATTTCTGCTCTGATCTTTATAATTCCTCCCTGTATGAGCTTAGGGTTTTTCTTTTTCTTCTTTTTCTAGGAGCCTAAGATTCATCATTAGGTTGTTTATTTGAGCTTGTTCTGTTTTCCTAATGTGGGGATTTACTGCTATGAATTTTTTCACATAGAACTGCTTTCATTGTGTCCATAGATTCCTGTATGTTGTATTGGCATTATCATTTATTTGTAAAAACTGACTAATTTCTTCTTTCATCTGTGACCCATTGATTGTTCAGGACATTTCTGTCCCATTTCCATGTGTTTGTAAAGTTCTTAATTATTATTGTCTTATTATTCTTATGCTATTGATCTCCAGATTAACTGCACTATGTTCTGACAATATACATGGGAAAGTTTCAATTTTTTTGCATTTATTTAAACCTGTTTTGTGAGTTATCATGTGGTCTATTTTGGAGAATGACCCATATGCAGCCAAAATGAATATATATGCTGATTTTGTGGTATGGAACATTCTGTAGAAATCTATTAACTCCATTTGTTCAAAAGCTTGGTTCAGTTCTAATATTTCATTGTTGATTTTGTGTCTAGATAATCTGTCTATTTGTGATAGTGGGGTATTGAGCTCCCCACTATAACTGTATAAGTTCTTATTTGGTTTCTCATGTTCCTTAATATCTTTTTTATATAGTTGGGGCATTCATATTTGCAACATATATATTTATGATTGTCATCTTTTCCTCTTGGATTGTTCCCTTTACAATGATGTATTGGCCTTTTTTGTCTCTCTTAATCTGTTTTTGTTTGAAATTTACTTTGTCTGCAAATAAGGTAGCTACTCCTGCTTTTTTCTAGGCTCCTGTCACATGGAGAACTGTTTTCCATCATTTCACTTTCAATCTGTGAGGTTATTTTTGAACTAAGTGTGTTTCTTGTATACAACATATTGTTGGATTTTGCTTCTTAGTTCATTCTACCAGTCTATTTCTTTTGATTGGTTAATTGAGGCCATTGACATTGATGGTTATAACTGATATGTGTGACTTATCATTGTCATGTTATTTTCCTGTTGGCTCTTTTTAATCCCCCCCGCTTTAGTTTCTTGCCTTGCCTATTGGATTTGGTCTGTTGAGCCTCATGGTGTTGTGACCTTCATTGTCTTTTTCTAGGATATTGTTTAGAATTCCTTGTAGTGCTGGTTTGGTATTCATGAAGTCTCTCAGGTGTTTTTTGTCATGCAAGTATCTTATTTCCCTATCCATTTAAAAATAGAGTTTTGCAGGCTATTATCAGTCTAGGTTGGAGGTTGTTTTCTTTTAAGACTTGAAGT